TTATTATTATTATTATTATTATTATTATTATTATTATTATTATTATTATTATTATTATTATTATTATTATTATTAAAGCATCAGAAGTCCAAGCCATCTCGCACTAATTTGTGTGTTTATGTATTGTTTTCACAGGTGACCTTACAGGAAAAAGCTTTACAAATATAAAAATACATTTTTATATATACCTCTTCCCAATTCAAATTATTTATCAACTCGTAGAATTGAATTTTTTATCTTTAATTAATAATTTATAAAACATGAATCAAAATAATCAATCATCAAATATAATGAATATAATAAGCGGAACCACAAATATCTTTGGATTTTCTAATTTGTTAAATCAAAACAACAACAATAACAACCATTACAACAACAATAATAACAACAACAACCATTACAACAACAACAACAACAACAATATTTCGAACATTTTCTATTCGGCGTATCTTTAATATGTATTTTATATTTTTATAATTACACGTTGATTTTTTCAAAGCATACATTAGGATCATGGATTTTTTCTACTTCGCTCACTTTTTCCTATATGCATTTTAAATAGATTCATTGTTCTTTATTCTGGATCCATTTTTCCCTCTAGTTGAGAGCAATATTGTTTTGTGCAAAAGTCAATTCATATTTTTAGGACATTCGCACTAGTTTCTTTTATTACATAATGATTCTCTTTAGTGAATCAAAATTCTCAAAATCCACTATATTGAGTGGGTTTTATTAAAGGCAATTTTGGGTATAGCTGGTTTTCACTATAAAGGCGATCCATTGTAAAAGAGCGTCGCTGTGTATTTTAACTATCTTGTAAGAGACGTTCGTTGTTAATTTGACCGAAATTAGAGATGCGGTTCTAATCTAATTATAAATTTAAAATTTAAAATTTGAAATTTTGTAATTCATAAGCATGAGATTTTTTTATTAGCTTATTAATGAAACCTTCAAATAAATTTACGCTTATAGGTTTTTTTAAAAACTATCTGAATAGTATGCGTTTATGTCGTTAGTTGAATAAAAATATGATGCCAGTGGTTCCTAGATCCTATTGCTAAATCCGCTTTTCCCCATAATGATAAGTTCTAGACAAATGATATCTTGCTTCAAGCAAACTGTGCTGTGAAAAAGATGTAGGAACAAAATTTTTTTATTACAATTTGCTCTTCAAAAAACTTGTATTTGATCCTCGTCTCTTGGAGTTTATTGTCCCGTTGAACATTTTGAGAAAGTTTAACAAGCTTTGCTTACGTCTCAAAGGTTTTGACATTTTACTAATCGTTTTCAATTGAAAGGAAAGATTTTCTCATATATTGAAGCGTGGAACATTATAGCGGAAAATTACATGCACAAATTTCAAAAACTACTTTTATAATAATTAGTCAAATATAATTTTTTTTAACATAATTGGTATAATTGTATTGTCGCATAAAGAATTGGTTATATTCTCATTTGTACACCCCATTATTACATATATGATATTGAATATTTTATCTTAATAAGAAAGTATAGAATAATATGGAATAAAAAGAAAATAATATCATTTATCTATTTTCACATATAAAGTAAATCGCAAAAGATATATGTGAGCTGCTACACCATTGATATCTCAAGATTAGATTTATTAAAAATTCTTTTTTATTAATAATATTGATAAAAATATCACTATATCAGTGACTATGACAATAATTATTTGTGTTTAATATCAGCATTAATCTTGCTATTAAACGATAAAAAAATCACTAATCAATTTATTCCCATATTTGTAACTAAATATAGAATAATTAAATAAGAAGGATTTATCCCACGTTTTTTTGTGATAAGCATATCAATACCTATTTTTCAATACAATGCAACAACTTCCCCTTTTTTGTTTGATCGTCTCAAACCTTATATTGTGACAACACTAAATCTAGAATAAATTAGTAATTACGTAATTGCATGCAGAAATATACAAATTTATCTTCTTATATTGTTATTGAATTATACTAGTTAGAATATGCATAATTATTATGGTTACCAGAAATAATAAATTAGATAATTGCGTAATTGCATGCGGAAGTATATAGTATTTTTTGACCATTCAAATGCCCAACTATTATCGATTTATATTGTTATTGAATTTTGCTGCATTTTATTTACTATTACATTTATGCATAACCATTTGGTTAACAGAACATGAACATATGTAATAAAGGCAGTGATCTTGAAATGACCTCATACGTGTATGATCACGATTTTATTCAAATATCATCTAACCTATGAAGTCACTTGAAAAGTGATCAATACTCATGAAGCGCCTAAGAATATATATTTGGTTGAATTGTGGCATTAAGACTGATCATTAAAATAAGCCGTAGAAAAATCTTCATAATTTTTGTCATCGGTATCAAAAACTTTTTAAAATTTATTAGTAAAATTTTTTTAAAAATCCACTATATCGGAAATTTATTAATCGAGTGGATTTTTATTATAGTTTCCAATTTGAATATTACAGAATCACGTGTAACATAACTTCACATAACTAATCATCTTATAGGGACCTGCAAATATTGTAGTTTATTTTGACCAAAACATGCAAAATTTTGATAAATTATGTTGTAACATTATCCGAAGCATGTCAAAAAATTCACAGAAATTTTTGTAGGTTCCTGTATCACACTCCTTAGCGTAATACTACAAGAGTATCTACACAAGCTTTTTCAAACGAATCAAGTTAGAAATTACAAAACAAATCCAGGATAAACCCGAATAGCTTTCCAAAAGATAAGGGATCAAAAACTCATTTTCTAATTAAATTTGTTCCTACATCTTTTCATTGCACAGTTCATATTAAAAAACATACTATCCAGATAATTTTAGAAAATATTAAAGATCAGGCTTAGATGAACGGTCACTAGTTATAAATTAGATATGCGAACGCAAGTTTGATTATTATGAATAGTTACATTTAATATTGTGCTTAATATTAAAGACAGAAATTTGTTATTTATACGCATTAAATGTATGAAGCTCTAAATTCTAATCTCGGTAAATTAAAGTTTCTTATAACAAAAATAAAAAACAAATAAATTAAAACAAAAGAGATAAAATAAATCGTAAAAAGAAAGGAGTTTCTCTAAAATATATAATAAATGGTTTGACCTTATCATAGTTCTAATAATGATACTATTTTTATATGTGTATGCACATAAAATTCGCTTTGGTAGATTTGATGGCTTTAAGTATACATTTTGCTAAATAAATGTTCATAGAAAAAAAAACGTGAAGTTGGCAAAACATATGGATAATAATCATGGAAACTCTTTAGTATGAATAGAGAGAAAAAAAAATAGAAAGAAAAAATAAGACCGCTTATACAGTATATCGTAAAGAGAACAAGTGCTTTAGTTAATACTGTATGCGCTTTATATCGCCTAAAGAAAAAAGTCGAAGCTGGTGCTGATTTTACTGTAACGCAATTGTTTTATGACATTGTTTTATACGGCGTGTTTTAAAAGATTTTGAAAAATTAACGACTGATTTTAACGAGAGTTTATATTAAAGATACGTCGCATGGAGATATTGATTGTTGTAGTTGTTGTTGTTTTATACGGTGTGTTATAAAGAGCATTCGACTGATTGTTAAAGATATCAATGGTCCCATTTATAAACGGATTCATTATATTCGAGTTTTGCTGTTGCTGAAGAGGTTGTTGTAGAGGTAATTGCTGCTGAACTTGATGTTGGTTTTGCAGCTGTTAATTTTGGAATTGTAGTTGGTGCTGCGGTTGATTATTTGATTCATTTTTTAAAAACTCTTTTAAATTAGCAGTTTTAAGTTTAGACAAGATTGTATGTAAAATTGCCATCCAGATATTTTTAATTAGTACTCCAAGCCAGATTCAGGCATTGATTTTCTTGTAAAATTCATTTTTCATATCTTTTGTTTTGCCGGGCTGATTACGCTTTGACCGATTCCCTGTAAAGAATATGCTCTAACATTTTTTGACAGAAAGTATTATAAAAAAGATTTCTTAGCATTTATTTTATTAGAATTAACTATTTTTTAAAAAAGTTGATTTTAATGAAGAAGCACAAGCAATGCAATTAAAACTCACTACACGCAAAAATTTTGGAAAAATACTTGTCCACTCTGCATTGCAAGCACAAATTGGAACTCAAGCAGAGAGCCAGAGTGTAGGATCGATTTTCCAAACACGTGATAATCCGATCATCAATTAGCCAATGTGATCAGATGTAACGTAAAAAAATTCAAAACAAACACTTGAAAAAATCGGATATACTGTATCTTTGATGTGGCAAAAAAATTTTATAGTTGGTTATCTACAAAAATTATAACTCTTGTGCAACAGCTGATCATGTAGAATGGCGAAGGGTAAGTAAAAAATTTTCTTGTGCAATTTTAATCCTAATCCAAACCCTAACTCTAATTTAAAGGCTATAACCCTATGTCATCATCTCTTATAAACTTTTTTTTGGCTTGATTTCAGGTTTAAAAGAAAAAAACCAAATATTAATTAAAAAATAAAGAGAATGAAACTTGGAGAAATTTAAGAGTTTGTACTCATCTAAAAGATCATGGATCAAGTTAAAGCTCTTTTGATTATTGTTAATAATTTATAATATATTATTTATAAAAATTAATAATGTTTATTCTATTGGAAGTCATTAAAATCAAACTAGAGAAATCATGAAGTTCAGTTATGAAAAAAAATCAAAAATATTTTACTTTTCTTTGCTTTTATATTTTTTTTAGAAGATATAGTTTATATATATTTTTTTAGTAAAAAAATGATAGAATTCTTATTTAAATTCTTATATTATTATTATTTTTGATACCTCTTGAAAAGATTATTTCATAATAGATTAATAACTTTATATATAATATTTGATCAGAATAAGATATAATAAAGATATTATTAATTATAAATAAGAGAGATTAATATAATCAAAGATATAATATAATAATATTAAACTATAATTATAATGAAATTAAAAGTAGATAATAAGAATATATTCATGATATGATCAGCTAGAATGTGATCTGGAATTATAATATAAGAAATATGTATTATAATAAATAAAATATTATTAATAAAAATTGTTAATTTATAATATTATTATATTTAAATTATTATTTTATCTTATTATTTTATTTATTAATTCATTTTATTAATTAATTAATTATTATTATTTTTCTATATCTAATTAAGATATATTATTTTTATATATTTTAGAGATTTTACAAATAATACTTTTATTATGATCTAAATATTACTTTATTAATATTATAATATTAAATTTATTATAATAGTATTATTAGTTTTACTATAATAATTTTGCTAATTTTGTTATAATAATTTTATTATAATCATTATATTTGTAAAATTATTTAAAAATAACTATTAATAATATTATCTTAATTATTATTTAATAAAATATAATTAAATAATTATCCAATAAAAATATAAGTATAAAATAATTAATATTAATAAAATCTATATTATAATAATATAAAAAAAATTTTACTTTTCTTTATTTTTATATTATTTATTATTTTTTTTAACTAAAAAATATATATTCTTTTTAATAATATAAATTCTTTATAATAATATATATTAAAATTATAAAATATATCTTTAAAAAAGATTATTAATACAAATTTTAAATATTATTATTATAGATAATATTAATATAAAAGATAAATTTCTTTAATATAATAAACTTATTTTATTATTTATATATAATATTATAAATAATTTTTTAAAATATATTATTTTAAATAAAAAATTATTAAAAAATTTGGATTTTTTTATATAAGTTTTATTATAAAATATAATAAATAAAAATAAATATAATTTTTTAATTAATTAATTAGTTAAGAGTAAATAATTAATATTAAATAAATTAATTTAATATTATTTATAATATTTTCAAATATTATAATTTTTAAACTAGAAAAAGCTTTAAATAAAAATAATATATTTATCAAATTATTAATATATTCCTAAAAATTTTTATTTTATTAAGAATAATATATTAAATTTAATATATAATAAAATAATTTATTATTATATAAAAGATTTTAAGAATAAAAATAAATAATATATTATATTTTAGAATAATATATAATAATAATTAAAAATAATATATTAAGAATTAAATTTATTAATAAAATATAATAAAAATTAGAATTTTTCTCTATATTAAAATTTATAATTTTATTAAAAAATAATTTTTATTTTATATTAAAATAAATTTTATTAATTATAGTTTAATATATATTTTTTAGATTTTTTTTAAAAGAGCTATTCTAATTATAAAGTTAATATAAAATTTTTACTAATTAAAAATAAAATTTAATTAATGAAAATTTTTATATTAATTTTATAATTAAAATAACACTTTCAGAAAAAATTTAAAAATCTGAAAAAAATATATATTAAATTATAACTAATAAAATTTATTCTAATATAAAAATAAAATTCTTAATAAATTATAAATTTAATATAAAGAAAAAATTTTAATTTTTATTATATTTTATTAATAAATTTAGTTTTTAATATATTACTTTTAATTATTACTATATAAAAAAGATAATATATAGTATATTAATTATTATTTTTTTATTTCTTGAGTTTTTTAAACTTGTTACTTAGATTAATATTAAATTTCATAATAAATCTGAATAAATTATTAATTTTTAAATATTATTTAAATTATAATTTATCTATATATTTAAGAAAAAAAATATTTATTAATAAATAGAATATTTAAAATTAAATAAGCTTAATATTTGTATAATAAATTTTAATTTATAAATATTTGATTTAATAAAATTTATTTTTTATAATAAAAAATATACTTAGTCTATTATATAATTTTTAACAGATTTTTAAAATAAATTACAACTTTTTAATAGTATTTTCAATTAATATAATATAAACAAAATATTATTTTTATTTTAATAAGATTTTAAAAGTATTTAAATAAATTTATAAAGAATAAATAACTAATTTAGATAATTCTAAAGCAAAATATTAAAATAATATAAATAAAATATAAATAAATTTAATTTTTTAATTTTTAAATTTTTTAATAATTAGTTAATAAGCAAAAATTTATGATTTATCAAGAATTATTAAAAAGCTCTTTGAAAATTAATTAATAATCTCAAATTATAATTTAGTAACTCATAATTAAAATCTTATATTTTATTTGCAAATATTATATAATTGATAAATATTAATTATTAATAAATGAGATAAATAGGATCTGATTTCTATAAAGATGATAAAAAGAAACTAATCAAATAATAAAAATAGAGAAAACAAGTAGTAATTCTAGACAAGCTATAAAAGTTGAAGAAATTAACAAAAACTTCCAATTAGTATTATTTGAAATTAGGATCAATATGCGAAACATTATATATAATACACAAACCTGTTGAAAAAGATATCTTGGAATAGCTTGAAGAATATAAAGACTTCATTATATTATTCAAAATATACTAATTCTGAATATCAAAGTAATTCGAGATCAATAATATAACCAATATATCAAAAAAATATATTTTAATACATATTCCAGAGAAAATTTGAAATAAGTATTAATGGTCATGATGATTAAATTGAATAATAATAAAATTTCATATAAAATAATTTTATTTTGAACGTCGAATTATGACAAATTCAGCTTATCTTTGATTACTTAAAAAAAAAGTAATTTGTGGATTATAGCTTTATCATTAAAAACATTATTTACATTCTATTTGTTGTTCAAAAGACCTGACTTCCGAGTTCTTTTACACTTTTGAAACAATGGTGTGCATTCTCTCAGAAACTCCGTTCATTAACGAACATCCTCTTATCAACTACAGTTCTCGTCGTCTATAACGAGAATTGAATGTGGCACAAAGCGTATATAGAAAAACATGGCCGTTCTTAGAATGTGCAATCAAACTTTAATTTCAGTTTTTTTAGCAGTATAGCTTAAAAAACAAACCTTAAAGTTAAAAAATTTCTCTTGCTAACTGACAAACAACAGTCAGTGCGGTTTGGAAGTGTGGTGTTCGTAACGTCCCGGTTTTGGCGAAACTAAGTGGTGTCTTCCTCTTTATGACACATAAGTATGTCAAACAACTAAGAGAAAGCGATAAATTCGACCTATTTCGCATTCTGGATGTCCAAGAATTCTCCAAAACTGACATTTTATTGGGAAAAGATAAAAAATCTTTATTTTGTTTAAAATTTGATCCGTGTAAAAATTTCAGGATAAATGTATATTAATATTCTGAGCAATTTTATTTTAGGTTGACTCATTTAATAAAAAAACTTTTTCCTAAAATGACTTTAAACCTGCATTTTTATTCATATATGTCGGGGAATTTAAATTAAAATTAGCAATTAAATTATGTAGATATTTGGACAACATTTGGACTGGTCCAAAGGGCCAACCCTGAAAATTTACTAAATTAGGATTATATCTACATATCTGAAGAGCTGCAATCTGAATAAGATTATGACCAAAAAAATGATTACGAGAAACTATATTAATAATTAAAATATTAAAAGTTAAGAGAAGTAAGCATTGAACATCCGTACATCCAAAAAAATGCTTCCAGAAGATTTGTCGGTATGTAAGATGGGATCCTTTTATTTTATTTCGACAAAAAGATGTCGATTATCTCATGCAACTTTTGAAACATATGGAAGACTAAAATTATCAACTATACCCTATGTAATAGGCTAAATCACCTTAATGACAACTGGAAATGAATCTGAGAATTGCTAGGTAATGATTGGCGTTTTCCAGCATGATAATGATCCAAATCCTAACTCAATTAGAAATCTTAGGAGTATTGACAAAGAAACGTAGAAAAGCAATTATCAAAAATCTTGATGAATTGGATGAATTAAAAAATTTTATGATAGAAAAATGAGATGCTATTCCAAATTTGATTATAATCGGGGTGAACATATTTCTTATTGATTGCTTTTAAAATATGCTATTTGTTAGCAGTTTAATACATCTATTATGAAAGTTCAAGTTTTTTCTTAGCACACTGTACAGTCAAATCTCTATAAGTGCACGCTCTATAAGAGCACATCTTCTATAAATACATCTGGTACCTTAATTCCAACCATTAATAACACTATAAAATTTATTCCTCTAAATGCTTATACATGTAGTTAGCCCTGAAGGGATGCACTTGGGGAGGTCTGACTGTATTTGAGTCTCATCATTGTTTTTCCGTGTTCCGTTCATATGTAAGCCATTGTATATAAATTTAATTATTATTCATAAAATATATTTATTACTAATTATATTAAAAACAAACTATTTGAAAAGTTGTATTAGTCTAAATCGAAGCACAAATTAAATTTTGATAAAAGTTTATTCCAGGTAGTTCTTAGTAAATTCACTTCGCTAAATTAGAATTTTCTTATATTACACCGACTGCTTCGGCCTAACAGGAGTATCTTCTGAAATGGAAACTTTCTAGAATTCTTCGGATACTAAAATTTAGGTTATACAATTCTTGTCCAAAATGAAGATGTATTAAGCAACTCCAATCATATTGCAATAAATGATAATCAACTAAATTGCACCAATAAATTACAGTAAAAATACTTCGAATACCGTTAAATTCATTAGCCCGCCATTTTAAAAAATTGGGTAAAGATACAAGCATAAAACATTGATATGCATTACCTGCAGAATTTTAAACTTTACATCTTTTTTCCAAAACAATTCGGATTAACTTTAATATGCAACGTTGTCATCGTAATATTCTAAGCTTTATCTTTTAATTGGTTAGTTAAAAGTTATTTGACGACATATGATGTTTTTAACGTTAAAGTTCTCTTGAGAGTTAATCAAAGGTTAATCCGTAGTTATAAAGGAACATAATCACGGATTAACTTCAAACCTTCATAGCGAATTTTTTACGATATTATATATTCTAATATATATAGTATTAGTATATATATATATATATTATATATATATAAATATATAATATGCAATATGCAATATATATACATATAATATAATCTCGTTGTTTTTATAAGAAAAAGTCTTAAAATATAACGATAAAAATATATATATACACACGCTGTCTCTCTCTACACCTTAACCCTAAACTATTTTAATAATTAATAAAAAAAGCCTTAAACCCATAAAAATTATATACACGCGTCTCTCTCCCTATCCTGACCTTACGCTATTTTAATAGTCAATTAGTGGAAAAAACATGAATCAAAGAAATCAATCGCAAAATCTTCTGCAAGTAAGACTTTTAGCGCTTAGGAGGCAGCAGCAGCAACAGCAACATCAAATTCTGCAACAATTATCTCCTCAGCAACAACAGCAACCACAAAACTCGAATATAATGAATACATTTATAGATGGGACCATAGATATTTTTTACAATCAGTTGAATACATCAAATCAAAATAACAACAGTAATGAAATTTCGAGTATTCTCTATGCGACATATCTTTGAACTCTTAAATCATTCGTTGATTTTCGAACTCTCTTTATTCAACAACAATAACATTTCGAGTATTCTCTATGCGACGTATCTTAATATCAACTCTTTAAAATTATTCGTTGAATGTATGTTCACATATTCTGTTCATTTTCTTTTCGCGTTATAAAGGCGCAGATTTAGCTTAACCTAAAGCTGCTTTTTTTTCCTTTATAATTCTCTTTATATAAACAATCTTTATTTTTCCGCCGACGTAATTCTAAGAATTTCTTGTTCAATAATATTATCAGGTCACAATCTATTATCCATGACTTCTCGTTTTTTTTTCACAAATACGCTTATAATTTCCGGTTGTCTAATTTGCTAAAACGAACTTTAAATATCATTTTCGCAATAATTTTCATTTTTCATAAGTCAAATTATTTAGTTCAAATTTTAGGCGAAGTCCGTTTTTTTTCTATTTTTTTTTTTTCCTTTATGAATTTTTTGCATAATTCTATACAACACGACGTTTTTAATTTGACCGAGGGATCATTCGGATGAGAGTTTGATAAAAATATTTGAATATAAATAACCTATTCGATTTAGTATTTACGTTCGTAATCACGCGATTTTTAACCTTTTCTTTACCTACCAAAAGTTTGAACACACGTTTTTTGCTCCAAAATAAATTTAAATTTATATTAATAAAACATTGGAATATACAATTTGTTTTATACAACATAATGGAATAGCTATTATATAGATAATATATTATTAAATCTCGCGTCAATACTTATAATAACTATCGTTATTTTCCAGAAAACATTATCCTTTTCTATTATCTATTGCCTTAACACAACATTTTAAAGTGTAGGTCACAACTTTAAACGTGTCTAATGAATACATTCCGCAACAAAATTCGGTGTGATCTATTGAGTAATAAAATATATAAAATTTGATCAAACCGTAATGAGCTTGATTATATATTGCTACGCTTATATTCATAATGGATGTTTGCATATTATATAAAAAGATGTGTAATAACGAACTCGTAATAAATTTAAAAGTTTTGTGCGCGAAATATCCAATGTTGACTATGTATGTACGATTCTATATGCTAAGTAAGCTTTGCTATACCAACATTACAATTAGGGCGACTATGCTTTGTGATTTAGCAATAATTAGTTAAATCTAATTTTACCCACACTTACGCGTGATATTCATGTATTGATCATGACATCCTCGCAAAAAAATGGGTAGAATTCCCAGGTAAAAAAAGAATTTTATTTTCCTCCTATTCTGAATACATTTATTTTGATCAGGTAAAATTATTTACGAGACAGACACCTAAAGTCTGTAAATTGATGGTTTTTAATATTATTATATACTATAAATTAACTACCAATCGACCAATTCAATACCTAACCAAACACTTAAATACACATTTCCGCCAAAGTATCCTCACACTCTTCACACTCTTTCTTCTCTCTAATAACCTTGAATGTAGCACCCTCCTGCGAATCGACCTCATTCTCAGCCTTCTCAAACGCCTTATCACTTCGATCCAGAATCCGTTCCAACTCGTCGTCGGGAATCACAAGATCGCCCTTCTCTACGCACTGTATAACTTCGTTATCGTTAGCGTTTAACATCTCGGCTAACTCAGCTAAGCTTGCGGTGGCTTCATGCACTTGCGAGGGCGACTTGAATTTGCCCTTGTGGATTACGAGTTTTTCGAGCTTACGTTTCGCAGAGGCTTTTTCGAGAATTTTGCTCTCGACAGTGTTGGAAGTGACGAGACGGTAAATGATGACGGGTTTGGATTGGCCGATTCGATGGACGCGGTCTTGAGCTTGCAAGTCCATTTGAGGGTTCTTTTTATTGCAATAGAATAGAAAAATTTAACCTTGTTAAACTATTTTTTTTATGCGAATATTATCAAGACAAGTTCTAAGATTGCTTACCCAGTCACTATCAAAGATGATAACAGTATCAGCAGATGTTAAATTAATCCCCAAGCCACCTGCTCGAGTCGACAAAATAAAGACTTTCTTTTCAGGTTTTGTATTAAATTCTTGGATCTATTCAAAATCACAATAAAGATCAACAAAAACAAGATTCCTTCTTTCTCTTACTTCCAAAAAATCATTTATTTACCTGACGCCTACGCTCCTCTTGACTCACCCCACCATCTAACCGACAAATCTCCCAACCTTTTATAATAGTGATCCAATCCTCGATAATATCCAACATTGTGGTGAACTGTGAAAAAATGAGCACTTTATGTTGACGTTCAAGCAACGCGGTTAACAGTCGGTCGAGAAGCATTATCTTTCCCGAGGCATGTACCAAGTCTTCGGAGACTATCGGCTCTTTGGTGGTTGGATTGATGGGCCAGTTGAAGAGGTATGGATGGTTGCATACTTTGCGGAGTTGCATGATGGTGTTTTGAAGTTTCATGGCATTAACTTTTTTGGCTTTTTTTTTGTGAAGTGGAAAGATTAGGGTTAATGAGAATTGTTTAACAAGATGAGGAGCATAAAGGTGCAAAATTCCAACGTACTAGCTAGAAGTTGAGCATATTCGGGATCATTGGTATTTTGGGGAGTTTTTGTGTTTTCTTCCGCTTCCAACGCTTTCTTCTCCAATAATTCAAAGTATTCATCATCGCCAATATCTTCTTTGTAATTTACACGGTCCACCTTTCGTGCTTTTCGATTCAAAGTAACAGAGTATGCTTTTTTATCCGCGTCATTACTTTGAGCGGTGTCCGCCTTCACTTTGACTGAACATGAATTAAGGAGGGAAAACGAATAAGAATTAAAGGTCGATGAGTATTTCGCAATTTAAATTCATAGCGTCCAAAACATTCTATTGCTCGATTCCATTGCCATTACCATTATTATCATCATCATCATCATCATCATCATCATTATTATTATTATTATTATTGTTGTTGTTGTTGTTGTCATTATTATTATCTTTATCATTATCAGCGGTGGCATCATTTTGTTGTGGTAAATTGGCGTGTTTCTTAATAAGAAATGAACGAATGTTTTTATTCACAATTGCGTCATATAATTCTTTTTGAGGCCGCGTGAACGGAGCGTATACAAGATACTCTCTCTTTTTAGGAAGAGAGTGTTCCACTATTTTTGCATGTAATTATTAGTTACAGAATTAGAGATTGATTTAATTTTGTACTCGAAATACAGAACCACAAACACACAGACGAACATATATACCATCGCTTTTAACACGGCGCAACAAGAACGGTTTAAGAATTTTGTGCAGATTCGTGATGAGCAGGTGCTGCTCCTCCTCTTCAAGGATTTTCTTCTCACCATTCTTTTCGTTTAACGCAGAGAAGTCGAACCTTAATAGCAATATTAGTAATAAAAATTGAGATCAGCTATAAAAACAGAACAACCTCTACAAAGAAGATAAAAAACGCATCGCGTATAGCACATAGACCACAACGATGATACCATTTCTGAAAAGTATCCCAGTCGTCGAATATATCAGGTAATAAGAAGTTAAGTAAGCTCCAAAGCTCGCCCAAGTTATTCTGATCATAAATATATCAACGAAAGAGATCAAGAGTATTTTTTATTAATGTCATAAAATAAAAAACCGATATTCAATCAAATCATACAGAACCCAAAAAATAGGTATAAAGGTAAACTACCTGCAGCGGAGTTCCGGTTAACAACAATCTATTTGCCGAACTATACAATCTGAGCTCTTTCAATAATTTACAATTGTAATTCTTGATTCGATGGCCTTCGTCTATAACTAAGTATTTCCAATTAAGTTTCTATAATCAAGGTAGGCGGAATCATAAATGAAAAAATATTTTTAATTGTCCAATAATTTAATAACAGCTATTCTGTCATACTCAAAAAAAGAAATAACTTTAGTAGCAATAGTACCTGTAAATACTTGCGATCTCTCATAGCAATCTCATAACTAGTAACCACGATAGGGAACTTTGCATCTACTTTATCTACTTTTCCTTTTATCATACGAGTATTACGAAGATGAGCACGGCACTCAGGCGAGCCGTGGTATAGTGCAACAGGTAAAGTAGGTGTGAATCTTTAGAGGAGACACGCATATGCATATATTATTAGATCAACAAACACTAGTCGTTAAGTTATTTACTACCTCAAATACATATGGGAGGTGATACACCAATTTACACTCACCGATTGAACTCACTAACCCAATTTGCGAGAGTGGAAACCGGCGCGACGACCAGAAATGGACCATAGATTTTACGTTCCCACAAAAATGCAAAGAACGCGATTGTTTGAAGAGTCTATTCCGTTTAATAGTAAATCGGATATTTTATTATTAATGCTAAGATAACTTTTGTATCGTTTCATTAATTCTTATTAAATCGAACATCTGTCTTTTACCTTGCCCAATCCCATCTCGTCTCCCAAGATACCGTTTAATCCATTATCGTATAAACTGACCAACCATTCAAAGCCTGCCAACTGGTAATCACGTAGTATACCACCGGTGACAAGTTTTGGTTGTCGAATAGATGGAGTAGGTTTAATATTACGCGTAATGGCTTCACTCTCGTCAGATGACGTATTAGGATCATCATGTTTTCGCCGTTTTGCCAAATCCTAATAGAAAGAATTTTCAACGTCATAATTATCTGTAGATATCGAGAAAACAATCAGCAGAGAATAGACCCACTTCACTATTGACGTAATCACCAAGATAGTAATTTGCCTCGGTTGTTGGATTAGCTTTACGTTTAGTACCAGCTTTAGTAGTTGCCTTGCTGGAAGAAGCTTCAGCTTGTTTGTTCCCACCAGCACCACCGCTTCTGGTACGACAACTTGGACCATCACCAACAGCGGCAGCGGCAGCTTTTTGGGACTTCAATTCTTTAGCAACACGTCTTCGTTCCTGTTCGGCAGCCTGTTCCAGCAACGCTTGTTTCTGTGCTTCCATCTTTTGCGCGAGGAAATTTGCATATAATGATGATTTCTCGATGAGGAAGTTCAAGCGTTGAACACGGCCTTGATTGACTATTTCATCATAGCTGGCGAATGCCTGTCAGATTTATCCGTATCAAAAGTGATTTATAAATAATGGTAAAAAATTCAAGTGTTAATCAGCGATCAATCAGGATGAAAAATTTTTTTTTGCAACACATTTTTTTATAAACGTGTCTTCTAAGTAGAAAATATATCAACAAAAAGGATCAAAGAAAGGACTAACCAACTAACCTCCTCTTTAAGTGTTTTAAGATTTTCCTTGTTTTTACCAGTCATACACGCAGCTACCCCTCCCGCTGATACACTTGTTTCACCTTTTCCGTCTTCCATTTCCATTATCTCCATTGGTTCCTCAGTAAGATCATAAAAGAAAGGTTCGTCGTTCGAAGACGGGGTAGCAACCGACGACGAATTGACACTTTCAATTGACGAAGGGTACTTGTAGATTAAAGAAAGAATGAATTTGAAAACCGATATTTTATATCATAGTTTGAACAACACGACCAAGGACATTTATCGTCGTCGCGTAAGAAATTCGCCAAGAGTTGCATAAAAAAATCACATTATTTGAATGAATTTACACATCGGTTTTTCAACAGTAACGACGCGTTTTTTTTTTCTTTTTTATATGCACCTTTACAAGAGCGGGGAGCGCAGGAGGAGCAAAAGAATTAGTAAGGTCACTTGTTGCTGTTTCTCCCATTTTAGACATGACCACCTAGCAAAGGGAATTTTTTTTGAGAAATAATGAACACAGATAGTCAGCACGGAGAAAAAAAAAGCGCGAACGCGATTTTCTATTTTATAAAATGCCGGGTTTTAACTTCCCCCTAGGTTTTTTAATAAGGGAAGCTAGTATCTTTTTTTAGGGTAGTACTGCATGCATGTTTGATTGTATGATCTGACTTGAGAAATTATCGTTATTATTATGTGGACCTGATTATTCGCTTTTTTGCTACATAATAATAATGATGATGTTGACCATTGATCAAATGCTGACTATTATTCTTTTAGAGAACAAGATTTTTCGGCCAAAAGGAAAATTTTTTTGATCTCAAAAAATATGTATTTTTTGAAATCCTGCCTCTCTATGCAAGAAATCAAAGAAGGAAAATGTGTTGTGTTAGTGCAACTATGATTTCTAAAAGAAAACTTTTTTTGTCCCTCGAACATGATCTGAGTAACTAAAAAAAAAATAGTTTATAACCGTTTCTTTTTTATCGCTATTGATGAATTACCAATTCTGTTCTAGATATCAGGCGTAGTTACCTAATGATACAATGAACTTCAACACTGTTATTTTATCGTTACTTGGGTACAAATTTGGTTAACTCAAATTGAACTTACAGTGTTTAAAATTCAAAACTTAAATTTCTTTAATGCCCAAAGAAAATAAAATAAGAGCATTTTGGTTTGGTATCAAATTATAAGAAGACTAAACTTATCCTGAAGTTCTTATGCTAAATTAGCAAAAAATTAAGCTAAGATAAATTCTTGACATCATATTTCATATATACAAAATTAAGAACATCATTTTACAATTTTATTGATCTCACTTAAGAAATTGAGAACTAACCAGATCTTTGGAAATGTTCTCAAATAAGAGATTTACTAATAATTTATATGGAAGGAATATTTATAATAAATAGCATAAAATTTTGGGTAATCATTTTTTTTGAACATTATGTCAGAACATCAAATTTTAAACCCCGATTATGAGTCACAGAAAGATTTTGAATATTTCGCAAATCTCTTGCGTAACTTCCTCTTTAGACTTGTCTCCATCAACAACAAAAATTCTTTCCTCTAATTCTTGTTTGTCATTAGCTGTTTCTTTTTGATGGTCATTTGACGACGACGAATCTATTATCGGATTTTCCAAAGTATCCAATTGACTTTGCAACATTCCCTCCCGCATAAAATGCCCTTTTCTTTCTCGAAGTCGTCTTTCCAACTCCTGTTTACTCGTTTTCAAATAGACAAACCAGACTTGTGCTCGATTGTTTAATGGGACATTGTTACGTAAGAAATCTCGGTAACTGCGTTTTAGCGCTGAACATGCGACTATTATTCCTTTTGGAGATGTCGATGAGTCTGTCGTGGTACCATCACTAGGGGTAGTCCATTGTGTTAAAGTGTCAAGAATCGCTTGTAGCCACGGCAATCGATCATCGTCTGTTAATGGTAGCCCTGATGACATTTTTTCGATATTGGACTTTGGGTGTAGGTCATCGCCATCAAGAAATGGGAGACCGAGTTTTTGGGCAAGTAATGTGCCTATCGAGGTCTTTCCTGATGCGGTCGGACCCTGTGTGATTTAGAGAAACTTGAATTTTTGTTCATATTCATCATCAGTATTGAATAATCTTTTCTCACCATAATAATAAAGACTGGAATATATGCCATCTTTCAATTACTTGATGGATTGATTAGATTGCATTTTTTTCCACAAAAATTCTCCGATCATTCCCGTTTAAAGCTTCATGAATCAACTTACTTTAATACAATAAACAAAACGCTTTCGACAATGAATTTTTCGCCAAAGTCAAAACTGGTGACTTCCAGCCTTAAATGCTTTCTTTCAGCAAGAAAAAGCGCTATTCGAACTACATTAAGCAAGTTTTTCTGTAATTTCTGCTAAGGAATTCATATTGTGTAGCGCATACTAGAAGTTAAATATACGAAGCATCATAAAACAGAAATGTCGTTTTCCTCCAAAACTGCGGGTAGTCCGCTTGTGTCCACTGCGTGGCTTGCTGATAACATAAATTCTGTTATCCCTGTTGATGGGTCTTGGCATATGCCTGCAGCCAACAGAGATCCGTATCAAGAGTATTTGGCGCGACGAATAAAGGTTTTAGTTTTGCATTTTATCATGCTTGTTAATAATTCGCAAGAGCTGAAGTCTGGATGGGTTCGAATTTTTTGTAGAATGCACGATTTTTTGGCATAGACGAGATCAAAGACAAAACCATAGATTTACCACACATGTTACCATCTCCCGAAGATTTCGCAAAAGCAGTCGGTCAAAATGCTAACTTTTCATCATAAACGAATTTTAAATCCCAATCAGACAATTATATTGACGTGGCACACGATTAATTTAATCATTATAGGCGATCTGGGGATATCCGTGAATGATCATGTTGTTGCTTATGATTCAGTCGGTATCTTTTCATCTCCGCGCATATATTGGACATTCAAGGTCTTTAATCTTAGGATATAAACGAAAATCTTGTTTATTCAGACATATCTTTATATTTTGGCGAAAATTACAATTTATTTGTGATTGGGAAAGAATAGGTGTTTGGACACGAGAAAGTATCTGTACTTGATGGTGGTTTACCGAAATGGATAGAAGAGAATAGAGAAATAGAGAGTGGACCTGTTTCGATCACGGTAAATATTTGTGTTTTATTGATCTAATACAGAAATAAATATAATCTTATTTTTTTCTTTCAATTAGCCAAAGGAATACCATACCCCTACTTTAAATCATAAACTAGTTCGCAATTACCAGGACATAATTAAAAACATTGAGCAAGGACCGAACGCGTCAAGCTTTGAGCAAGTTATTGATGCTAGGCCAGAAAAACGGTATATATTTTATTTGGTTTTGCAAATAATTAATACTGATACTGAAGACAAATATTATTATTAGGTTCACAGGCGAAGATCATGAACCACGAGCAGGTCTCTCAAGTGGTCACATGCCATACTCAACTAGCATCCCATTCTATGCTGTCATTGATCCATCAACCAAAAACACACTTCTCGACAATGATTCGTTAAGAAAGCTCTTTGAATCAAAGAAAGTCGATCTTGAGAAACCGATTGTGTTGAGTTGCGGCAGTGGTATTACTGCATCAACGCTGTATTTTGCTCTGGAGAAAGTTGGGGCGCGGCAGATTGCTGTTTATGATGGTAGTTGGACAGAGTATGCGAGTAATGCAAAGTCACCTATTGTTAAAAATGAAAATCAATAATTTTTATTACAAACATCCAATTAGCCTCTTTAGAAAAGCTATCATAATAACGCGTAATTTTTTGAAATGATTATGTTAACCCGTTTGGTTCTGCAAGTTTTTCATAAAATCAATTTTTTCTTAAAAAATTTCATTTTCTTAACCAAAAAATCTCTCATATAATGTATATAACTGTTTATTTATGTACTTTTTCCGCGCAAATATCACCCAATAAAGAAATTTCTTCACTAATCTTGCCATACAGTATTCTTAAAATGAAACGTAAAAGCAATTTTCCTTTATAGACCTTACAGATTTTTGTGTTCTAAAGTCAATTGAGGCATATTTTGAGTTTGGCTTTAGCACACAATAATATTTTCCTCCTGGTTAAAAACGTTCAAAATGGCGTTTGGCATCGTGACCTTCCACAAGTAATTTTATGAACCATGATAAATCTCCATCTATGCCGTTTATGTGAAAATCAACAAAGCCATCCGAACACAGCTTTTTTCCACCATTAGGGCTTATGAAATAGATTGCAGGTAGCAATGATAGTATGGTAACGTATATCTCCATTTGAAATTGTCGTTCTAAAAGTGTATCACCAGTGTCACAATTCATTGTATTTCGAAGCCGTGAAAGCTTCAATCTTTGGCTCACCTCTTTGATGAAATTTTCAAATTGATTATATCGAAAAAGCCGTGGTCATTCTGTACAATAAAGTGGTAGTGAGTCAGCAAATAACTTTGAATGCAGAAATTCTATGCAAGGGATATCTGGCATAAGTCGATCTTTGTTTGTAATCCTCCTTTGCAACCTATCTAAAATGTGACGAACTAGTCCTACATGGTTATGGGTGAATCTTTTGATCAAGGACTTGACTGCAATTCCAAGATTGAAGTAATTTTGTCCATCATTTCTTCAAATTCTTCATCAAACAACTGCAGTCCAATAATTTCTTCATTGCCTTCTTTCCTGCTATGCATTGTAACAATGTGTTTCAGCGTAAGTTTTACTGGTGTAGCTAATGTAGGAAGGTCACTAGCATCTGTAATTACCATAAGCACAGAACAAAGCTACTGCTAATGTCGGATAGTAAGGCTGAAGAATAAGTTTGATAGTTTGCTCCCATAGTATATGTGTGTTGTGTTTTCTCTTATCATATGTCCGTTGACCTTCATCAAAAAATACTACCGTACTGCTTTTAGAGTTTAACAACTCATTCCATGTTTTTCCTGACTTTTCCTAAAGTAAATTCACGTTATTATTAATTTATACACAAGTACAAAAATGAGAAGATTTTACCTTCACATACACCTCAAAGCTATAATCGTCTTTTGCATCACCAAAACTAATATATATATATATGACTTGCGTTCTAGGATACTTTAAGATAGACTACAGTGACCTGCGCTAGGCTAGTCTTTCCACTAAATGGCGGGACTTCTAATTGGAACAATGTGATTTCGTTGGATCATTTGAATAAGCCCCGGTGACGGTTTCTCTCTTTGCGTTACGAGTGAGGCATCACTTGCGTATATTCCCTCATTTGATGCAACAATTGGGATGTGCAAAGGAAGATCTATAAAAATAATAGAGACGAGCAGGCCCAAAAACGAAATAATACATTGGTTAATGTACCAATATAATATGAAGCACAAAGTTAATAAGGAAATTATTGCAAACTTCGAAATGATTTTCCGTAAGCTTTAAGTTTTGTCCGCTCAAAAATTTGATTAACTCCTCCGTACTCCATGTTTTTACTTCGTTGATTGTGGGAAGAGAAACTTTTTCTCCAGCAAAAGTACTTGCAGAAGTCGACATATTTATTTATGTGTTTAGTCTTGCTCGGACAAAAAAGTAGCACAGGGAAAATGAAATTACTTTTAGTAGGAAATAGTCCTTTTTTTCATCATACATGTCTCGCTTCAGGAGTAGTTCCAGCCACATAGGAAGACTTTCGTGTGATTGGCTGATTTTTCTTTACAATTTCAATGATGAAATTATCGTTATCGTTTAGATAATTATCTCTTTGGCGTTTATATCGCCCAAAAGTCATCACCATCGAATATTCATTTGTAACGGGGCTTTCAGTTACTCCATGATAACCAATAATATTTAACTATATCTTTTAAGAGCAGTCTGTATCAGAAAAAATAAAAAGCAACTTTCACTTTATAAAATGTTCATTTTTTTACCTCGTTTGTAAACTCTGGAGTAATTTGCTTTGAACTGTGTAATGATTTCAATACAACACATTTTCCTCTTCGGTTCCATTGATTTTCTTCATGATCACATTTTCCAGTTAATGGACCATCCAACCAAGGTTGTTTTATAAATTGACCCAAAAACCTCCTTTTGCAAGATATTTAGCGTTGGTAAATCTTTCAAAGGGAATCTACTCTATTAATTGTGTTGCATTCTTTTATTAGAATATCGATATCTTTATCTCTGCTAGACATATAAATTCGTTTATGATATTTGAAACAGCCATCACAGAGATAATTTTCTTGACAACGGGTACATTTACCACAATCATGAGTATTGTGAACTATAAAAATGCGAATTGCTTGAGACGTTGTCGTTATACAAGATGTTTGTGTAGCGGAAGTGACTTAAACTCTATATCGATATGGCAGTTCTTTATTTGTCTGTTTTAAGAAACGACATACATTCGATGTTAGCATTTGTAAGTTGATTTGTGTGTGTTAACGTCTCAAAGCAATTCGCATTTTATATAAAGATGGAATCGAATACTCATGATTGTAGTGAATGTACTCGTTGTCAAGAAAAGAAATTCTGCCTTGAATGTTTACTTTATCACAAACGAATTTATAACGATGAAATGTCTAGCGGAGATGAAAATATCGATATTCTACTAAAAGAATGCAATAAAATTAATCATGATTCTGAAATATTCGAATGGAAAGATTTACCGAGGTTGAATATCTTGCTAAAGGAGGTTTTGGGTCAATTTATCAAGCAACCTGGTTGGATGGATGAGCTAGAGGAGAATGGGATCATGAAGAAAATAAATGGAAACGAAGCGGTGGATATTTCGTTATATTGAAATCCTTGCACCATTCAAAGCAGATTACTCGAGAGTTTACAAACGAGGTAAAAAAAATGAACATTTATAAAGTGAAAGTTGCTTTTTAGTTTTTTCTGATACAATCAAATCAAATTTTTCAAAAAATAGATTCAGACTGCTCTTAAAAGATATAGTAATATTTTTAATTATTATGGACTAACTGAAAACCCCGTTACAAATGAATATTTGATGATAATGACTTATGGCGATAAAAACGCATTTTATGAAGTGAGCTCAAAGATAGAATCGAATACTCACGATTGTAGTAAATGTGGTGATTGTCAAGGAGCTGATTACTACTGCGATGAGTGTTTAGTTCACAATACTCATTATTGTCGTAAATGTCGTCATTGTCGATTTGATAAGCGCTGCTGGCCATGTTTCTATTATCACAGACGAATGTATAAAATTCATAACGATGAATTGTCTAGCGGAGATAAAGATATCGACAATCTAATAAAAGAATGCAACAAAATTAACAAAGAAGATGAATTATTCAAATGGATCCCTTTTGAAGAATTCATTAACGTTGAATATGTTACAAAAGGAGGTTTTGGGACAATTTATAAAGCAACTTGGTTGGCTGAAGAATATAGACAATGGAATCACAAAGAAAATAAATTTGATTTGGAACCAGATGTCGCGTTGAAATCATTAGACAGTTCAAGGCAAATTACACATGAGTTCACAAAAGAGGTAAAATGAATATCGTCTAAAGTGAAGGTTGCTTTTTGTTTTCTAATACAATCAAATTCTTCAAAAACAGATTCAGTTTGCTCTTAAATTCAGCTGTAATGACAACGAACGTTTAAGATATTACGGAATAACTAAAAACCCAGTTACAAATGAATATTTAGCAGTGATGACCTATGCAAAAAATGGTGATCTCCACAAATATATTAATTCCAATTACGAAAACTTGACTTTGTTTAAAAGATTAAATTTTATATATGATATACTCAATGATCTCAGAAGCATTCACAAAGAAGCATTTGTACATCGTGACTTCCATCCTGGAAATATATTACTCATACTGAAAATTCCTCAAGTTGCTGATTTTGGACTTACCATTCGAACAAATATAGAAAAATCTAACCAAGAAATTTGTGGAGTACTGCCTTATATGAGTCCAGAGGTACTAAATGGAAAACCATACACTTGCGCTGCAGATATTTATAGTTTTGGAATGGTTATGTACGAAATTATAACGGGTGAACAACCATTTGGTGAACGAAGTCATGATTATGTTCTCGTATTAGACATCTATAAAGGAGTACGACCTACGATACCAAATAATATTCCCGGATGGTGCAAATTTATTATTGAAAAATGTTGGGCTCCTATTCCAGAGAACAGACCAACTGCTGAGGAACTAAGAGACTTTATCTTATCTATTTGGTACCCAGTTAAAGAATGGAAACTTAATTCTTTACATTTTCAGTACTGCAGTTCTTTAAAATATCCTAAAACAATTGAAGGATGTCTTTCTCTAGAAAGAAATTAATTTAATAAAATTAGATTTCAAAAAAATTTTGCTATGAATGTGAGCAAAAAGAAAATTCACCCAAACGCAATTTACACCAGTCGAATCTTTACTCCGAAATCGGTTTCAATTCTAACTGATACAGGTACGTACATTTATTTTTTATATTCAAACAAAATGACATTTCAGATTGATTTAAATATATCGTACGTTTAGGTTCTACAAGTGTCAGTTTATATTTTCCAAATGAAGGTAAAATTATATATTCTTTTCATCAATTTCTTTAATTCATTGAGTTCATTATTTCCCTTTGGTGATGATGAAAACAGATTTCGATTATGAGGATATGCCAAATGACTTGCAAAAAAATTTACATATTTAGAGTTCTGCAGATCCGGCATGTGAACGAAAAATTTATGGCACAGGCACGGGCATAGCCACCTTGTGCTTGGTCTAAAATGCCAGGAACTTTTTTAGGCACCGGCACTAGTGTCTGGTATCCGCACAAAAACATTACATGTATAAATTTAGCGCATGACGAAACTTGATAGACAGTTCTGTGTAACAAAATTTTTTGTAGCGACCCAAATTTAAATTTTTATTATTAATTTATTAATTTATAAATATCCCTTATTCCTCTCACACATTACTATATTTATTCATTCATAAAATTTATAAAACCCATAAAAATTTATAAAATTTATAAAAATATTTCAAAATTATTATAAAATCCTTTTAAAAATAACATTATTTACATTATTTCTTTATATCAATCTCTAAATCAATAGTTACACTATCAAAATTATAAAATTATATATAATATAGACATTCAAATTCTTTGTTGCTCAAATAGTTTTCTTATTTAGTTTATTAATTTTATTATTAATTATCTAAACTTTTTATATTGTCACTATGCAAGCTAAAAGCAAAGATCACTTTAATTGATATTATATTAGAAATAGTAATAGCAATATTATTAAGCAAAAATATTAACTTAATAAACTTATTAATATTATAATATTTACAAACTCAATTAGAAAAAGTGATTTCTTTATAATATTACAAATTATATTTGTGAAGATAGATTTTATCAGAAATATAGTTTATAATAAGTTTTGAGAACTAAGACTAAATTATTTATAAAGATAAAGAAGATTATAATTATTTTAAAGATTTTCTAGTACCAATACTTATAAGTATTATATTAATACAAGATAAAAACAAAAATAAATAAAGAGAAGTTATGATTATGAAAATATAATAAAGAAAAAGATACTTATAACTAAAATAATAAAATTATAAATTATAAATTTAATATATTAACTAAATTCTCTATCAGTTCTTTTTAACTGATAGATAAATAAAGAGTATATATCAAAAATAAATAAAGTTTTTATATATAGAAAAGCTTGCAAGAATCCTGTAAATTAAAATAAAATATATTTGACTTATTTTAAGTAAAAAATATTCACTATCTATATTTTTAGACAAGAAAAATATATAATTAATAAAAATATAATCTATTATGATAAAAGAAATAAATAAAAGTAAATATCAAGATAAAAAGATAAAGATAATTATAAAATAAGTATAATTCAAATAGTTTTTAAGTACAAAAGAATTATTACTATTCAAATATATTTATTTTATATCTAAGAACTGAAATATTTATATATCTTTGAAATTATATAAATTTTATCTAAGCTTTAATTATTTTTCATTTACTATTTTAATATATAATTACAAGTTTTGAAATAAAAAAACTATAAATAAATAAATAAAAAGATAAAATATATATAGTAAGTTAAAAGATAATATTATTATCTTTTTGGTATAAGTTCTATTCTAAGAGTGAGTATTAAATCTAATATTATAAAAGCATGTGATAAAAGTATTTACGTACTTAAAACAAAATTTGAGAGAGTTTTTAAAGATTTACTAATAAGAATATAAATACTATTATTTATCTAAAAATAGATAATAATAGTATTCTTATTATGACTAACTAGAATATAGTCTAATTTCAAAATATAATTTCAAGATAAATATAATATTCAGTTTATTAACAAGATGAAATAATAGATCTTAATTAAGATCTATTCTATAAGAGAGATTCCTTAGAATTCTCTTAAAACTAAAACTTACTTAAATATGAATTGAGAACTAAATTCATAAAACTCAAACTAAACTAAATAACTAATTAATTAACTATTAACTGTCTGTTAACTTATTAACTATCTAAATTCACTA